AGATACTTTTTTTTAACTGCGAATTGGGTGAATTTCGTCCAAAATCCCTCTCTCACCATTCGCCGAAAGAAAGTTTAATTCTCACGCTACGACGCAAAAGATCGAACCTAATCCCTCTGCCCACGTTTCCAAAAGCCCGGAGTTGTTCTCTGCGTAAAAGTTACAACGCTCGAATGGAGACGCCTGGTGGCCACCAGGCGTCTCCACTGGACTTTCAGCCCTCTCCGGGTGAATTATACTTTCCAGAATTAATTACAACCCAGGGGAATTCAATCATCACCCTTCGCGCAACCCCCTCGTGGCATCATCTTCGACAGAAATAGCTGAATGTCGCCCACGAGGCTGAGCTGCAATTGTACGAAAATACAAACACTTCTGTCCAATTTGGCGGAGCAAAAAAACCACATCATTCATTTTTTGCGCCACTGGCAACCACCCACCTCCCCCCGGAAGCCTCTGCAGCACCTACACTATGTATCTTGTAGGACGATGGTGAGTTTTTTGCCATCCACTGAGTATTTACTTCCTCACTGTTGTTTGTCTTGTCGAGGAATGAGACAGAGAGAGAGAAGAGAGTGACTCAAGGGGAGATCGATTAATAATTCAAGGTGCTCAACAAGGATTTTTCCTAGAAGATGAAACCCGAGACAAAGGATATGTGAAGGAATTCAGTTTGCAATGGAAATTTTACTTCAAGGAAAAAAAAATACCTTTGAAATATTTCTATAAACACGCGTTTTATTGTAAACATGTTGTTTTCAAACAGCTCAATCAAAAAGGATTCCCAGCAATGAAAAAAAATAGGCATTCTCCCCATTCTCCGCTTTTATGCCTAGATTTAATGTAAATATACATATATTTTTGGTATGAATTGACAACATTTGCTCCACATTCAGAGGGAAAAATACTTGGAAAATCCAGTCTCATTTTGTGCATTTCACATTGTACACATTATTGTGGTGAGTGTTCCGGACAGTTAAATCAGAAATATGTTTGTCAAATTGCATTTCCACATCAAAGTAAACATGGAAATATGCATTTAGGGGTGAATTTGGGGTGAAAATCACAAAAGGATAAATGGATATTTGTGTGATGAAACATTTGACGATGAGTGACAGAAAAAATCGAATCACCGAAATTCAACTGAATATTTTAGGCTTCTGCTTTCGACACAGAAAGCTTTGCGTGATAACCACGAAATATCACCATCAGCCAGGTGTCGCATGATTGGAAATTCAATAGGTCGAGAGGAATATATGTAGTTTGCCCTTTTCAATATTTCATGAATATCACAGAGAAAGACAGTGATTTCATCTCTGTCTGATTTGGTATTTATTGGGAGTCGTCGGAGTCGTGATGTTGGGAATTTGCATACCCTCTGAATGGAATCTCTTGAATGGATGTTGGAAGATACAATTTCAGCGATTTTCCCACCCCGCGGGGCGCCCCAACACCTCCGCGAACATCAATTATCTCCCGCGATTGATGTGAATGAAAATCTCCTTCTCTCCTCGTTGGCAGATGTTCCTCCAGCATCGCCCACACGAGGGGGCAGGAAAAGGATATAATATGTGTGTTTTGGGGACACTCACCGATCCTAAGTTGTCATAGCCGTACTTGTTGGCGATCTCATGGGCCACCTGGTTGTCCACGTTCCGCCTGAAGCGCACGAGGAAGGAGCTGGTGAACACATCACCAGACGACGAGGACACAGTCGCCACGGAGAGAATCATCAGCCCCAGGAGGCACAGCCATGTCACTGGCATCGCCCAGCAATCCGCACAGGTGTTCACGCACAGGAAACGAGGGGGTGAAAGCTCGCGCTGGTCCCTCAAAAGCAGCCCCTTCGCAGTATAGCAGCTGACGGGTTATTGCGCCTCACCTCAGACACTGTGTGACACCTGGAATATGTCTCTGACTCCCTCTTTTCACTCACTCCTGCATGTTTCGGCCCGCGTGTTCCTCTCACGGTCTGGGAAAGTTGTGTATATTATCGGGATGGTCGCACTTTCTTCTCTCACCACCGAAAAAAAACCCCCCGATAAAAAGCACACACACTCGTGTGAAAAGCTCTCTCGCGGCGAATGACGCACCCTCGACTGTGCACACAGGACTCCTCTTTTTTGGGGGGAAGACTCCTGCCTGGTCGTCTGGTGTCTTCCTGGCCTGTCCGGCTGGAGAGTGAGGTGGAAAAGATGAGAGGCCCCAACACACAAAACTACACCCAAGTCTTCTCGATGACGTGCCAGTAGTGACAGAAGCTCCGTGAATGGATTTCACTGCCGTCAACTTCGATCGGCCGTGCAACAGAGACGGAGCAATTGTTGGGGATGCGCAAGAGTGGCCCAAGTCGCTGCTTCTCCCCTTCGATCTCCACTGTGTGCGCCTCATTTGGCTGTGAGTGTGCTCAATGACGTCATTGGGTGTCTAAGCTCAACCAAATGATAATATTTGAGAAATATACCCACAATTCCAGGGCGGCACTCGCGAGAGAGCTTTTCCCCCCAAGGAAGCTTTGAAATCGCCCTGAAAACCACATCAAGACAAAGACAGAGAGAAGAAGACGGAGAAAGTGGAAAAGATGGTGAATTTCAAGCAATATTTTCCACCCCATCCGACTCTGATGTTCCGGGGGGATTAAATTCAAAAATTATCGATTTTCCGTTTGAGACAATATATAAAAATAGCCACACAGAGGCACACAAGAGATATGTTGGCTGGAAAAGTGTTGAAAACAACACACACCACATTAAACCCGGCAATTAATGCGCAAGATCACCGTGAACTTTCCCTCTTTCGCACACACAACACCAGACGTTGTTGGGAAAATGTGGGGAAGTGGCGTGAAAGCTCCGCCCTTGAAAGCTCCTTCTCGCGCGCGCCATCCGAGGGAGGCGCGCACTATGCGACGCGACGAACAGAAGCGGGAATTCACACGCACGATACATGCGAATTACATTAAACCATTTCTCAAATCTCAAATCCCACCAGTCAAGTGTACTTTTACGAGTCGTGCGAGTGTGATAAAGAATCGATGATAGCACACATCATAAAATGCTTCGTTTTTTTTCCCTCCACATCGCCCCCAACCGGCTGCTGAGGGGGTCGAAAGGGGGTGGAAGGGCGAGAAAAAACACAGTCGAGAGCTTCGCTTTCGCCAAACAGATGTTATAGTTCTGGTTGGCAATTTAATACAACATTTAGACATTGCGCACATTGGCATCGCCTCTCTTCTCTATAATTCCAGTGATTTACATATTTTACATGCTAAATACAATCGTAGAAAAATATAAAGTCAATTCCTACCTTTCTTTTCGGCAGGTTTGGAAATGTAATTTAGCACTATTTTTGTGTGTGTGTTGAAGAATAAATCAGATTCATTTATTGCTGAGATTCTTCTGCAGCTGCTTTTGCTTTGAGTTTCTTAACCTTTGCAGCGCCTCCTGGCGCTTCCTTGCAATCTCTGTCATCGTACACTTCCCAGAAGCTGAAAGAATCGCTCAAATATTGTAAATGCATTAGAAATATGTCAGCCAAACTTACACGAAACCGATGAGATCGACTCAGAACTGCCACTCCTGGACGGCGGTTCATCGCTCTTCCTCAGCGTGGAATTCACCGGCATGCTGTCGTATCTGTTGATCACTTTCGCAGAGCTTTGCGACAATTGTGAATCTTGCTTCTGCACCGGCATCGAAGCGTGCCTTGCAAAGCTTCCGTTGCGAGCTGAAGATCCATCGAGTGGCAACTGAGACAGGATGTCATCGAAGGAGTCATCAACGAGCCACTTCAACTCGTCGTCTCGACTGGAAGACTTCAATGGAGGATTCTTTACTCCACTTGAGGTGGGTTTTGCTGGAGTTTTCTTGCGATCTTCCCTAATTTCTCTATCCAAATTCTGAACACATTCTTCTACGGTGTAGTAAATCTCTTCCGACGACGTTCTCGACGACGAGTCTTTTTTCCTGCTCACAGCCGGAGAGAAAATCTCCGGAGATTGTGCAACTACAACTGGCGGATCATCGATAAGAGCAGCCAAATCTCTATCATCCGCCGAATCATCAAACAAGAAGTCTTTCTGAATTGTTGTCATTGCTTTTGACGGTCCAGGAGTGTCGGCATTCTGCACGACAGTCTTATCAGAAGTGTTTGAGTCCTCCAGGACATATTTCAGCATATCCGCGGTGGTTTCCACCCTCGAAGTGGCGGATTTTTCAGCTTCCACCGTCGGTGAACCACTTGAAGTGGTTGTACCAGAATCGGTGCTGCTGTACTTTGACTCCATCGTCATGAGATCCTTCCTGAACCTGAAGAAGCCCGTCTTCGCCTGATCTCTCCTCGCATTGGGCCGAGTCAGACTGTGCGATCGAGTGATTGGGGAGGATTTCTTCTTCGCGGAGAACTTCCTCTGGGCTGGACTATTCTTTGGACTGTCCCATCCCCATGCCACATCCGCTTTCCAGTGCAGATCCTGCGACAGATGGACAATCGGCGAGTTGTCATTCTCCGGAGAGCACGCTGGAGCACTCTTTATGTACCGGGAGCTGATGGGTGTCGAGAAGTTCTGTTGCTTGAATTGATCTTCATCCTCTCTGGATGGAGACTTCCGCTCAGGACTCTCTCGAGGAGAGAAAGGACCTTAAAATGGGGGCGAAATAAACATAACACAGCTGCTTTGAAGCCAAAATTTCATTCGTCAATTCACTCACGAGTTTTAGTCAAAACACTGACGCTTCGCTTCAACAGACTCCTCTTGCGCGTCTGTGGGGTCTCATTCATGGTGCTTTCAGCAACACCGGACCCAGATCTTTGCAATTTCTCAGGAAACAACTAAAATTTCCCTCTATACAAAAGCGAAACGGACAAAACATCAACAATGTGAGGTTACGTTTTACTGGAAGCCGCCAACTTCCACAGATACGCAGCCCAAAACCAACTTGAAAAATTCACGCTCAACTTTCCATCCCAACAAGACGAAAAAAAAACCATTAAATACAGGTGTAATTTGTGTAATTTGTAATTATATTCGCTCTCCGAGAACAAGGGTAGTAAAAAGACGACAAATGGTGAGTGAAGAGGGTGTCCTAAACCGACCCTGACAGCTCTGGCGAGGGATTTGGTATTAAATGCCAGGAGAGCCAGAAGGCCAGGAGCGGCTGGAGGGCGGCGACCAGTAGGAGGAAGTACAGCTTCCTCTTGTGACCCATTGTCTGGTCGAATTGCTGCTGATTCCCATACGGATCGTAAGTTGCCGGAGCAGTTTGGGTGTTGGACAGAACCTTCGCCTTAATGTTGCGCAGCTGGAAAAAATGATTATTGATGGAGAGTCCACAAATGAGGAGCGCCTGAACTCACCAGGAAGAAGGCCAGGGAGAAACTGCTGTACGCCAGAGCGCCATAGTAGCCGGACTTGCGGAATAGAATGCTGACGATGAGGCAGAAATTGATGATGGTGAATTTGTATCCGGAAAACGCCAGCAAATCGAGCGTCTTGAGCGATGTTGAGATGTTGGCCACATAGAGAGTCACTGAGTAGATGATGAGCTCAAAGAGGCTGTAAGCCAGAGCGCTGGACGCCAGAATGCCCAGTTGTTCCGGTGAGAAGCGATCCTGCATCCCTACAAAGGACACACAATCGTCTCTAATCAAAATCGTCTAATCGTCTCAAAGCAACTCACCGAGCACCAGTCCGGCGAGGACAACGTAGGTGATGTAGGCCATCATGGGGATGTACAGATCTGGGGCGTTGATGTCGTACCTGGGCTGCACGGGATTGTCCTGGTCGTACTTCAGCGACCAGTCGGAGTGGGTGAAGGGGAAGAAGAGGAGCCTCAGCTTGTTGATCACGTACTTGTTGTCCACGGCGAAGTAGTACTTGAGCCGCGTCACGGGGATGTACTTCTCGAACTCCCTGTTCACCAGCTCCTTGCCCTGATCCGCCAGCCTCTGGCCATACTGCATCGCCATGTCCTGGACAATTGGCTGCTGCAGCATCGAGAACTGTCCCTGAAAGCCGGCCCCGGGGCCCGCTTGGGGCGCACCACCAGCGAAAGGCACCTGCTGCTGCGGCATCTGCTGCGGATTCTGCCCATAATTGCCCGGATATTGGGAGAAATCTGCAAACACAGCGTGTGAATGAGCGAACTCTCCCTGCAGACGCAATCACTCACTGCTTGGCGTCACATTGGGGTCAAATCCGTAGCCCTGGGGCATGGGATACTGCTGCTGGGGGAGATTTTGAGGCATTCCCTGGGATGGACCGTAACCTGGTGTAGTTCCACCGCCTGGCGCTGCCCCAAAGGCTGGTTGTTGCTGAGGAGTTGACATGAACTGAGCGCTGGTTGACGGAGCCGCTGGTCCCATGGCGTTGGTGTCACTCACTCTCTTGGGCTTCCGGACGCCGCCAGCAGCTGCAAAAAGACACCCAATGAGTACAGAAAGACACACCATATGGACAAAACCAGCAAATAAATGTGCCGCACACAACTAAAACCACACAAAACGACCAAAACCAGCCCGGAAAAGCCAGGAAAACACACGCAAGACTGCCCCATTGGCCCATAACACGCAACTCACACATTACTTGCCAGTTTTCCTTACAATTCTCAAACTTACGCTGCCGGGCGTTTGCATTGGCATTGTAGTTCATTCTTGGTCACTTTTCTTCACGTTCTCACAGAGATTTTCCCGGAAAATACGCTCAAAATGTTGTCATCGCCAAATCACCGATCAAACGTCAAGACGCAGCCGTTGAATGTTTCAGACACTGGAAACCGCAGCCGCCGCAGCCACTCTTCGCGTAGCTCACTTCACGCCAGAGCTTCTCAATCGGCAAAACTTTGTGTGTAATTTTTAAATGTGTACCGTATTATTTATTTACATGCACTTTATATACAGAAAATTTCATCATTTCTATCTTGATTACTATTTCTCAAAAAATTCTCTCTTCACTTCTCACATTTTGTAATGTTTTTTTTTTGTTTTCCTTACGCTTCTTTTTCATCATCTTCTTCAAATATTACTTTTCTATTTACAAAAATGGCAAACATTTTTTTTTTACTATTTCACTCTCGTTCTCAAAAAAAAAAATTTCCCAACCAATATATATATATTGAAAATCCTCCAATTCTCTGTTATACACACAATAAATTAATAATTTAATTTAGAAATTTCTTCTCATGTTCTTCTCACAATGGATATGTATTAAAAATGTTTCCTCAATATATTATTTTTCAAATCATTTTCAATTTTTTTTTAGTTTTATCAGCAAAAAATGTGCACTTTTACACACAAAAAAATTACTTCAACTCCAAAATGGCTTTTCGCACACAATTGCATGTGGAAAATCAATATAGAAATGCTCAATTTCCGCAACAATTACATTTTCTCCTCACCATTTGTCATTCTTCTTCCTCATCTTCTGCTTTTGATTCTCTTTGCTATTGTTATTCCTCCTCTCATCTCGTCCGGAGACAACATATTTTTTGAAAAAAATTGTGTTGCTAGAATTCTCTCAGATTGAAATGAATTTTCCTCTCGTAGAATTTTTTTTTTCATCTGCGCCTTACTTTTGCTCTATAGTTTTCTTTTTCTTCTTCTCCTTGTTTTTTAGTAACTCTATTAAAATTAAAAACTTTAAATATTCTATTCATGTGTTATTTAGTTATAAGTTTTACAGTAATATTTTTTATCTATCTTTATTACTTTTTTTAACTTGCGTTTTTCTCATCTCTTTTCCACCTAAAAAACTTCAACTGTTGTTTTGTTCACTGACTTTACAAAAACGGAAAAAGAAAAATATATTTTTCGATAATAATGCAAAAATGTTACTCATTGTTTCTCTTCTTTTGTATTTTGTTAATTTGCTTTTCTGTTACATTTCTCAGATTGTTCTCGTCAATAGTTTTTCCTCATCTTCTTCTTCACCATCTTCTGGTTCAAATAAACTTTCACAACAGCACGTAACAACATTAAAATTGCTAATTTATTCAAAATATATCAGTTTCTCAGCGTTTTTTTCACCTCTTCTCCTTCCTTCATTCCACTTCACAATTATTTTGCTTATTTTTCCCTAAAAATATTCATTTTTTCTTTAGTATTTTTTCATGGTGAGAGAAGACTCGTTTCTTGTTTTCATGTTAAATTTGCTTATAATTTCTCTCTTTCTTCTCAACTACTTTTCACGCTACTTTAAGTGATTTCGGAATGTTACAAAGAAAGAATTCTTTTTTCTTTTCCTTTATTTAATTGTACAGAATATGTTTTTCTTCTTCTTCTTCTTCTCCTCATTTGATGGACAGATTTGTGTTCTTTTTCTTCTTCTTTTACGTCACGTTCAAAGATTCAGGCTCAAAGAAATGAAGAAAAAAGAAATTATGTGAATAGAAAATTGTGGTTTTCTTTTCTTCTTTTTTTTTGCAATAAAAGCAGGTAAGAATAAATCACAGTTAATTAAATGTATATTTGCTAAAATAAATTTATAAAATATATTTTAAAATACAAGAAAATAAATGTTGTGGATTTGTTCGCAAGTTTGTGGCCATTGGAAATTACAAATATGCTTAAAACATTTGCCTATTATAGAAAAAAATCGCCTCTTTTTTTTAAATTTATCAATGTGGAAAGGAAAGTGTAATAATTTCTCCTTCTCTCTCTCTCTATATATATGTAATATTATTAAAGAAAAGAGCTGACAATAGAAGCTGAAGAAATATAAAACAATTCTTGCGCTAACAAAAGCTCTCACCACTTTTCTTCAGGCTTTCACTATAAAATCTACCGTGAGAAAATCAAATGGTCAGACATTCAAATGAAATAAAATTACTTCTTAGAAACTAATGTAATTGTAAAAATTAAATATTTCTCTCTCTCTCACACACTCACGCACTCTTGTTGCTCTGAAAACTCACTCTCTCTCTCTCTTTCCTCAAATAGAATAATTAGTAATTACAAGATTTGTTATCTTTGGTGTGTAAAATTTTTTCTACTAATATTTTTCATGTTTTTTTCTTCTTCATACTTTAAAAGGTTTTTTCTTCTTCTTTTCTTTTCCCCATTCTTTCCACTCAATATAATATCCTATAAATCAGTTTCACTTCAGAAATCTTATATTTTAATTTACTGCTCTTTCCATTCCGTGCTTTTTTCCTTATCTTCATCTTTTCTCATATCAGATCCTCCAGAAGACACAGAGTTTTCCTGCTTTTCTCTCACTTTTTCTCCCCTTTGCATGAGAATTTTATTCAATAGGCCCATTTTTTTTTTGTTCCGACACTCCACACGATCTGGAGTTCTTCCGCGCGCGGTGAAACTGCGTCAAGACATTGTTTTTCCTAAACATGGTTTTCACTGTATTAAACCACTGTTCCGCCGGGAGGCGCCGATGGACTCGAGCCGGCGTGCTGAGGAGCATTCTGGAAAAAAGGGTGAAAAAGAATGATTTTTTTCTCCTCTTCCAAATCTACTTTATTACTCACCGCAAATCCTGGCCTCGCCCACGTGTAGATAATCCCATCCTGGCACGCTGTGAGGAAGCAATCTTCGCGGAAAATGAGCGCTGTCAGTCTTTCATGGGCGATCTTCTTGCATACCAGCGGCTCCAGCACAGGACACTCGTCGAAGCGCGGACACGCCGACGTGCCAATCAACTTCATTGGATCATAAGTGGCCACAACACTGCTTCCGCCACTGCTGCCATCGCCATCGGCTGCGCCATTCCCATTCGTCGCCACCTGAACCATCGCAGCGCCGCCGCCGCCAGATCTCGTCTTCCCACTCGTGGCAATGCTGGCGGAATCACCTGGACTGCTGGCGCTGTTGTTGTTGTGCACAAAGTGATGATTCGCACTGGATTTGGACAGACTGAATGTCTTCTTGCCATGATGATGACTCGACGCCTTGTCACTGCCGAAGCCCAGATGTGACAGCCTCTGCGTGAGGGTGTTGAAGGCCGACATGCCGTCGGAGGATTTGCTGCTGCCGTTCTTTGAGTCCGGCGAGTCCGTTGACTTAACACTATTGCCCACACAATTCCCAATCACACTCACACTCTTGCCACTCTTCCCACTCACGCTGTTCCAATGTTTACTATCACTGTTCGTGGCCACTGGCGCACTGTCACTCGCCACAGAGTTGGCAATCTTCCCACTGGCCGCCGCCGCCGGGCGTGGATTGTCCACATCCCGGGACGCTCCGCTCGACACTGTGGACATGGCGGCACTTGTTGAGGACACAGAAGAGCCAGAGGCTGACGATGAGGCACCCTTGCGCTCCGCCTCGCCATTCACGAGATTCTGCTGCGGATCGTGCGAGCTGAGCCGATGCCGAATGCCCACCGGCTGTCGCAGCACATCCTCCGTGATGTCCCACAGACACAGTTGCGTATCCTGACTCACGGATCCCAAGCGATAGCTCGTGGCCATCTTATCCGCCGCCGTGGCGCTGGACGGTGGCCGTCGTGCCGCGTCATTATCATCGCCACTGTAGTTTCTGAAGCCCCCATCATTAATGGGATTCTCATCGTCCGAGAAGTCCGGGCCGTCCCAGTGCGAGTAGCTCGTGGTGTAGGGATCAAATGCCACCACGGACACCCAGGATCTGTGGCCCTGCCCACGCGCCACAACTCGCCTCTCCTGCATCGACCACACCGTCACGAGATCATCCTCTCCGCCCACCACAATGTACTTCCCATCCGGACTCCAGCACACGCACAGGAATCCCCCGAAGTACGATCGCGCGATGCCCAGCAACTCCATCGTGTCATAGTGGAAGACCCGCAGGAAGCCGTCCTGCGACACAATGGCCAAATTGCTGCCGCACGGCGAGAAGCTGATCTCATTGATGCTGCCATTGTCCGTGCCAAATGACCACTTGTACAGCGGATTGCGCGTCGACTTGGACTTGCACGTGTAGATGACAAAGCCCTCGCCCATCTTGAACTGCTGATAGTTGGGCGCTGTTGGCGTGCACGGCAACTCCTCGTTGTACAAATACAGATGCCCAGAAGCATGGGCGGCCAGGAACAGGTTCGGTGACGACGGCAGCCACTTCAGGCACGTCACTTTTGTCTTATCAATTAGGCGCTGCAAAGAGAGAGAGAGAAAGAAAAGAGTGTGTTTATCAGTGAATTCACTCAAATGAAACCTTTTTTGCATAGTAAACATTAAC